CACACACACACACACACACACACACACACACACACACACACACACACGAGATTTCTCCTACTATTGAATGAAACAGAGGCTTTACAGTCAAACAAATGTGGCTTAAAATACAATTAGCAGTGTGCTGTTATATAACCTCTCTGGTAATGTTTGTTTCATGTAAAAGTTACAAGAAATGAAATCACGTATACACAAATTGCAAAGTAGGGCACGTTTTATATAGTGGAGTGGTCAATGAGTACAAATTCCCTCCCTTTTCATTTCCAGTCTCCATTAATTTTAATGTTGGCTCGTGCCATCAGTTGCATTCCCAAACCCTCCTGCCATCTGCAGCAACTAGGTAAGGAAAGAGAAAGCCCTACCCAGGAAAGTCAGCTTGACCTAGCAATGATGATTTGCAAAACAGACTGATTTCTGTCACCATTTTGTCATGCTATAGCAACAGGACTCGCTTTTTCTCCTTAACTGCAATAAACCCAGGTCGCCTTCAGTGCATTTTCAGAAATGTCTACCAGATACCATTTGCCTTCACTAAATTCATGCACTCTTCTGGCAAAACCCCACAAGAGCAATCACTTTCTGACATAATTTTATCCCTAGATTAAAGGTTTGTGTACCACAGTAACTGTTAACATACAGGTCAGTGTAATACAGAAATAATTCATGTATCAGAATGCCCCAAGCTTTGAGCCAAGGGAGAAAGGGCAGGCATGTCATTTTCCTAAGCTTCCAGTACACAGCTGGTGGCAAAGCTGAGCCCTGCCTGGCTCCAAGCCTTGTCACCACCTACAGCCTGTCCCAGTCCCAACGTGTATCACCTGAACTTGTTAGGCAATTGGCTACAGCATCCTTATTTAAAGAAAAATCATTTTTACAGGCTTCCAAAAGCTGCAATGGAACAAATCTGGAAATGCTTTGATCCCCACCTGTGACCCCACCGCCCTCTTTCTTTTTTACCCTTCTTTCTTAGTCTGCAGTCTGCCTCCCCTGCCTACTCAACATTAAGTCCTTTCAGGCTCTTCTGATAGGTGGGTAATATACATAGGAAAAAGAAAATACAACCTACTGACAATCAAGAATGGGGGTTCTGTGGTTATGCATCACTCTCCTTGAGACTGACAGGAACTCAGAATGGGGAAAGACATTGGTAAATCATACCAATATGCTAATGAAAAGTCACAAAGTACAGGAAGAACAACTACTAACTCCTTTTCTGCTGACTCTCAAAGTCCTAGCTACAGAGTAGTTGTTTGGAAAGAAAATTCATCCCTATTTACAGGACAGGGTTTTGCTTTGAAATCCAAGTTTAAAGGACCACAAGGCAGACTCCTATTGTCTCAGGCATGCACTGAGACTTACTATACAAATATACCTTAAGGTATTTTTTGATAATTTTTATGCATTCATCATAATGAGGAATCTGGCCTGTGGCTACATAAAATTCAAAACTAATACATATACCAGCCCCCATGTACAGTAAACCATCCACTTCCTAAGCCTTTTATACCATTGCATGCCTAATTTCAGATGCAGAAAACAAACAGGTGCTTTTGGAGTATTTTCATTTAACTTAAACACACGAAAGCTTTGAAAACTGCATCTTAAATGTCATCAAAAGCATAGAAATTGTTAACATAGAACCCAAAGATTATGGAAACGTAAAGTGAATATTCTGAGACCTCATCTTAAAGTGAATTCAGAGTATGCCCAAGGAGTTGGCTAGGTTGGAGTTCCTGTCTCTCATTCCCCAGTCTCAGCTTGCCCTCATCTTCACCATCCCTTCATACTCCTAGCCACTCCCTCTATGAGCTCCCTCAGCCAACCAGACAAATGTCCACCCATTTACTCTAGCGTACTACCATTCATTTCTTCTCACAGCTTCCTATAAGAGTGACCACGTCATCCAGCCACAGCAAACTCCAGCCTCAGAGGACAGCATTTGGTACTTTTCACTCCTGGTGTGAATTTCCAGAAGAACCTATCACATTAGTCCTGTGCCATTAACAGAGTAAATTTTGGGGATGAGGTCTCACACTAAGTAGCCTCAGACGGCCTGAAACTCATAATGTAGACCAGGCTGGCCTCAAACTCACAGAGATCCGCCTGCCAATAATTTTCACCATGGACCTCCAAGATATAAACAGCAACAATATATGGAGGTAACCTACACATCTCTGGAGGTTTCAGAGCTTATATATTTAACCTTTTTAAAGCACAACGCAATTACCCTGTAGATGATATAGCAGAGATCATTTCTCCTTGAACTTCACATTACCTTCTAGCAATACAGCCCTTATTCCCAGACGTGTTCTACTTCTATAGAGCTATGCCTCAACAACAACAACAACAACAAAAATACCCAAGGCTAAGCCTCACTTCTCAAACACATTTATGGCTAATTCTTCACATGTGCCACTAGAAAGGGGTAAGTAAAAGAATTCTCCAGAGCTTATTTTCTAGAGAGCAAACAGCAGGTTATAATAAGATCAGAGGTACCGTTAATACTCAATTTACCAGATAAACCTTGCTGGTGATAGTACATCAGTAATGCCCACCACATGCAATTTAGGGAAGGGACACATGAAGAAATGCATGGCTTTCTGGAGAACACTTTGATCACTATCTCACCTCATTTTGAGAGACAGCCTCATTTTTTAAGATAATCAGGTTCCCAGCACTCTGCCTATTTTGGCTCCTGAGTTGCCTGTTGTCAGTCACTGAGCCTTGGGTTCCCCCAGGTCCTGACCCTGTCTGGGCTCCTGTGTTGTAAAACATGAAAGTATCACTCCCTGAGCCTGCTGTCAGGCAGGCCTTGTAGCAGTAGGTCTTGGTGAGGGAGCCGTTGCCTCGAACCTCAATGAAGTGAGGCTGTACTTTGAGGCCATGTGGTATCCTGGCCTCGATGTTGTTGTTGGCCTGTTTGTACAGCTCGGCAGGGCTCCGCTCCCTCACCCCACAGAAACCTCCGCAGCACGCCGTGCCGTAAGCAGTGTAGCGGTAGCATTTGATGATGCTCAGAACAATGATTGTCAAGAGAAATATAAAAGACACTGTGCTTAACGCTATTATCAGATAAAGTGTGATTTCAGAGTATGTCCGGGGACTCTTTATATGTCTCTGAGTGTCAGGGAGCATTTTAGAAACCCTGTCCACCACAGCTACTGTAATAGCCACAGTAGCCGACAGAGGTGGCTCTCCGTTGTCGCGAACCACCACAGTCAGGTTGAAAGTGGTACCACTCTCATCTCCTATCTTTCTGGTAATCCTAATTTCTCCCGTGTGAAGCTCTACTTTAAAGAGGTCTGAGTCAGAAGTTGGGACGAGATGGTAAAAGAGCCAAGCATTCTGCCCAGAGTCTGAGTCCATGGCTATGACTTTGGTGACCAGGTAGCCAGCGGGGGCAGTCCGGGGCACCATCTCAATGGCTGATGATGAATTGGTTGAGGTAGGGTATAGAATATGGGGGGCGTGGTCATTCATGTCCACCACGTACACATTGGCGGTCACGGTGCTACTTAGCGGTGGCCTCCCCTTGTCCTGAGCCTCCACAGTCACGAAAAACTCTCGAAACTTCTCGTAGTCGAAGGAGTTGAGCGCATAAAGGCTGCCACTGGCGCTGTTGATGGAGACGTAGGAGGTGACGGGCAGCCCTTGAACCTCCCTGTCCACGAGGGAGTAGGTCACCTCCGCGTTCTCCTTTTGGTCTGGGTCTGTGGCTTGCACAGTGCAAAGCAACACACCCGGCAGGTTGTTTTCCTGGACATAGATGGAGTAAGAGTCCTTCAGGAAGCTTGGCGGATTGTCGTTGACGTCGGAGACCTCAACCTGCAGTGTCCTTTGGGATGTGAGCGGTGGTGTCCCCCCGTCAGTGGCTGTCACCGTGATGTTGTAGGCAGCTACCCGCTCACGGTCCAGCGGGCCACTCACCACCAGTGTATAGGAGTTTCCGAAGCCATTCAGCCGGAAGGGCAGCGTAGCCTCTAGGTTCAGGCTTACCTTCCGGTTGGGGCCCGAATCTTGGTCGTTCACGCTGAGAAGGGCCACAACAGTGTTGAGGGCAACATCCTCAGGCACCGGGCTGTATAAGTCTGTGAGCACCACCTCTGGAGCGTTGTCATTCACATCCAAAATGTCCACCAACACCTTGCAGTGACCCGCCATGGGTACTGGTCCCCGGTCAGTCGCTTGCACATAGATCTGATAGGACGAAGACTCCTCATAATCCAGTGTCCCACTTACCCTCACTTCCCCGGTAGTGGCGTCGATGCTGAAGAGCTGTCTCTCCCGGTCTGATGTGTAGCTGCTCAAGGAGTACCTGAGTTCACCATTAGAACCCTCATCTGGGTCTGAGGCATTCAACTTCACTACCAAGGTGCCTGGAGGAGCGTCCTCCCGCAGCTGGACTCGGTAAGTGGACTGGTCAAAGGCAGGAGAGTTGTCGTTGGTGTCCAGGACACGAACAGAGATCTGAGCCGTGCCTGAGCGAGCTGGGATGCCCCCGTCCACCGCAGTGAGAACCAAGTGGTGCAAGGCAGTCTGCTCACGGTCTAGGCCCTTCCGCAGCACGAGCTCCAACACCTTGCTGTTCTCCTGCAGGGGTTTAAGGTCCAGCTCAAAGTGCTCGCTGGGGCTGAGCTCGTAGGTCTGCACTGAGTTGGCGCCGACGTCGGGGTCCTGTGCGCTCTCTATGTGAAACCGCGCTCCCGGTGCCACGGATTCGCTTACCTGAAGCTGGTAGTCCGGCCGCGGGAAGCGCGGAGAGTTGTCATTGATGTCCAATATCTCCACCTCGATTGCGCTCACTGCCACCGGGTTGTGCGCCAGCACTTCCAAGCCGAGCAGGCAGCGAGGCCGCTGCTCGCACAGCGCCTCGCGGTCTATGCGCTCGTTGACGAAGAGCGCTCCGCTGGTCAAGTCCAGCTCCAGGTAGCGCGGGCTGGGTGCACCCAGGTGGTTGATGCGCAGGCAGCCGGGTCCCAAGCGCCGCAGTTCCAGCCCCAAGGCTCTCGCCACGTTGCCCACGAGCGCGCCCGGGCTCTGCTCCTCCGGCACGGTGTACCGTAGCTGGGAGGCCGCTGGGCCTGGCAGCAGCACCAGCAGCAGCCGGAGAGACAGAAACAGCAGCCAGGGCAAGGGCCGCGGGGGTCGCGGATGCTCGGTCGCCCCGGGTCGGCCGCCTGCCTGCTCCATAGCCGCCGGCCCTGGCGGAGGCAGCCGGGCCAGGGCGGGAGGCAGCAGCTGGGCGAGCCTGCTCCACGCCGGGCCCCGCCTCCGCCCTCACGGGCTCTCCACGGCTCACGCGCTACAAACGCCCGAGGCCGCTCCCCTCCCAGGCGTTCTCAAGGGCTCCGGGCCCGGCCGCCCCCGCGGACGCCCCATATCCCAGCTCCTCCACTCGCCTCCAGGCGCTCCGCGGCTCTCGGTTTTCTGCGACCGCCGCCACTGCCGCCGCCGCCGCCGCCGATGATGCTCTACGGAGAGGGAGGGAGAAGCGGAGGGGGAGGGGGTGCTCCGCAAGTCCAGCTCGGATTCCGCACCCAAGTGGCGGCGGACCGCGACCGCGCACCGCCCTGCCGCTCCGGCTACTCCAACCTCCTCTCCTTCATCCCCGACCCGCCGAATCCCGACAGACCGCGAGAGCGCGGCCACTCCCTTCCTCCCTTCCCCCACAGTCCTGTTCAGCCAGTCTCCACGCTCCCCAGCAGGCTTCACGCGCCTCGTAAGATTAGCCTGGGAAAGGCAGCCCAGTGCCTAGAACTCCACTATCAGCTCCCCAAGTCGAGGTTTCAAAGCGCCACCCAGGAAAATAAACTGTAAGGAGGCCTGGGCGGTGCCTAACAGTCAGAGGTGCGTTGGGGCTTTTGAAATGCAAACCATTTGTTTACTTGACCCTTACAACCTTCCCAGCTACATTTCTTAGAAGTCCAGAAAGCCTTTAACCCCTAGGTCAAAGGGCAGAGAAGTGACTAATGGCTTTTTCCGGGGAGCAAGCCTAAGGCTCCCTGGGATCCAGTACTGTCTCGCTCCCGGCCACGTGCCTTAACTTTCAGTGTGTATTTTGGCAATTAACCAATATTTGAGTGTTTAAAATTCCTTAAACAACTGGCTCCGTAAAGCTTCAAGAAAAACTCATATTCAACCTGTTTTGATCACAGTAGGAAAAAAAAAAAAAAACTAGTACAATTTTAAGCTGTTCTTCCCTCATGCTTTTCCTAATCTTGCTTGAAACCTTTTTTTTTTCTTTTCATTTATCGCCCAAGACATTTTCTTTCAAGTGAAGATTAATTTTTTTTTTCTTTAATGGATGACAAAGTCGTCAAGAGCCTACAAAGCCATTAAATCAAGAGAGTTACTCTCGGTCTGCCCAGCTAGGCTAGAATTTGAACTCGTTAATGCTTCGCAGAAAAAAAAAATGAAGAGAAAAAAACACCCTGCTGTTATTGAGCCTGGAATTTATCTTACAATAGCAGCAATGCCAACGGTTACAGCTCATCTTCTGTGAATACGGTGCTTCTGTGGGCTCCTGTACCTCTTTGACCCCTCAGACTCCCTTTAAATTGCTGCAGAGGCCACATGCAATTTCTCTTCAGTGAACAAGAAGAGAGGGAGCAGAGGAAAGCCTTTCTGTGCTGTGTCATTGCCTCCCCTGATCTCTGAATCATCAGCCTTCCCAGTTCTCTCGTCTCTCCCAGGAAAGCTTAAAACTATAGCTCCCTGTGCAAAATCATTCACTAAAACATCCTCTTTCTTCCTCAGCTCCCAGTATTCTTGCGCTACATAGATAGCTTCTTGGGTAATTTTCTAGCTATGTTAGTGGAAGGGAGCCAGAGCGGGACCTGACGTTTGGCACACTTCCCTCCTTGAGAGGACAAGTTGACGGTTGCGGAGCCCAGATTTTGAAAACCAGGGCCAGCACATCCTCCCTTCATCCTACCAAGTGAGCTCAGTAACAGCATCCCACAACCCAACCGATGATTTCTCCTAGAGAAGCTAGTTTTCCTCCCATCGCTGCCTATTTGTCCTCTTTGTTCTGTCAAGGGTGCAGAGTGGGAAGCAATTTCCATCAGAATCTATTCCTGACTCCATTCTAAGGTCTCTGGCTTCTCCCTCTCTATCTGTATCCTTCCCAAACATGCCCCAGTAGCTCTGTTTGTTGTAGTAATTTGATCTCCGGGAGCCTTAATCTCTCAAGTGCACAAATTGTAGACCTGGCCTATGTCCTCACCCATTACTTATTTCAGAAAACAAATGGCCTGTAAGTGGAATCAAGTTATAAGTCGTCAGGAAAAGTGACCTTTCTTCCCCTCATCTCCTCCAGTGCTCACAGTCGCTGCCGTCACTGCTCACAGCCACTGGGTGTTGACCATGCAGGGTCCTAGGCCCCAGAAAAGATCACAGGCACTTAAAGAAGAGATAAAAGTGACAAGGACTTTGGGATGCTCTTAACGGGAGCCCCCAAGTGCCCTGCCTCAGAGGTGGGGGAAGCAGAATTTGTCTTTCAGCCACATCATCATTCAGCAAGAGTACCGGCTGAGATGTCCATTGTGTGTGTGTGTGTGTGTGTGTGTGTGTTTCAGAATTATAAGCTCCAGCTAGTATTTGCTCCCTCAGTGACTGAAAGAGCAAAAAAGCAGCACAATTAGCCTCATTTCCAGAGACATTGTGCTACAGAGACGGTATGTCCTCTGTGTGGCACGACAGTGCCTTCCTTTCTCAGGCTGAATATGCAGGTTTCTGCCAACCTTACCAATGTTTGGAACTCGATTTCTCAGACTTTCGCTGAGTGCCTCACCTACAAATATGCATGCTAATGCCTCAGCCGTATCTTTGTGCCTTCCTTCCTTTTTACTGTTAAGAATTCCACTTAAAAAGCAGAATAAAACTAAATGGGAACACAAAATACAGAGGTAGTTAAACCCATGCTAAAGACTATGTGTCTTTCGACACCTAACCTTCCATTTGCTTGTTTTAAATACAGGAAACAAAAACAAAATCGATGGGGTTGTTGTTATGATTAGAACAACTAATAAGTGATTTGCACATTATTTGGCAAGCACACTATTGGTTTTAGTGGTGGTAGTGTTTATTAAGTGCAACAACTATTAGCCGATGATGTCTTAGCTAATCGTCTATGTATGACATGACTCCTTAAACACAGACAACCAATTTGAAGTATGACACTTAAGAAGTAAATGGTGGCTGGGGACAGGTGAGTATATTCTAAGTCTAGTTTTTCTGAAGTTTTCAAATACTTCTAGAACTTATCCTCTATCTTGAAAATCAAGTGACTCTTTCATTTGTACATGAAAGTGATTACATATATCATGTATGATATATAACATATATGAATCACTTCTTTTTTGTTTGTTTTATGGGTCTGTGTGAGTGTCTGATATGTGCGTGTGGGTACCAACTGAGGCCAGAAACAGATGTCAGAGCCCCTGGAGTTGGAGTTACAAGTGGTTATGATCCACTCAATATGGGTGATGGAGATGGCAGCAAGTGCTCTTAACCACTAAACCAGCCCCAGGAATAACTTATACCCAGCTATGTAATAAAATTACTATATCACAAAATAAAATCACTTCTTGATTTAAGTAATAAAAAGTGACATGACAAAAAGGGCCGTAAGACCGGGCATTGTGCTTGTTTATTCCTGTGCTAGACAAGAACCTAGAAATCATATTTCCCAATTATATATTTCTTAATTATATTTGTAAAATACATCTCCAATGAGATCACTGAGCACAGCAGCAAAAACCAATCACAACAGAATTAAGACTGCAAGAAAAATACTCAAACTCAGAAAACTCTCCTAATTCACATCAATTTTCCTTTTTACTGGCATCATTGCAAATCATTTTACTTTGAGTAACCAAATGATCTGAGTTTGGGGCATAGGGAAAAAAGGACATACAAGTCACTAGTTTTATCATGTTCTCAGCAGGCCATTATACAAATATGTGTCACAAAGAGGAAAATCTAATTTTCTTTTTCTTTTTAAAAAGTTTCTTTTGAGAGCCTGTCTTGTCTAGCCCAAGGTAGCCTTGAGTTGGCTGTGTAGCCAAGGCTGGCCTTAAACTCTTGATCCTCCTGCATCCAGCTCCCAAGTGCTAAAATAAAAGGCATGTGCCACTATACCCGGCCTCTACTTTGTATTTATAACTGGTGAATGAATGTTACTCTACATGAGCATGTGTTACTCAATGAAAAGAGGGACAAATAAACATCCCTAAGAGTTAGTATGACACAAAGTGGCTTTTAAAGTGACATCTCATAGCAGACATAGCAGTACACCTCTACAACTAATCTTGACCCTCAAGAGGCAGAGGCTCAAGAATTCAAGAACAGGCAGGGCTGTATAGTGAGACACGGCTTCAAAACCTTTATCTTGTTAAGAAGGGACAGGATTCTTGACCTCCCTTTTCCACAAGGAAAATACTTTGCAATAAGATTATATCATTATGAAGGTGTAGTCTTATGTGGTCTAAGAGGGATTAGGAATGTTTTCCATATGAAATTATGGCTCAATTTTTTCCCCATATATTCTTTTCACAGGCTGAGGGAAATGCATGAAGAAAATGTTTGGATTCAACAATTAGATTTGGGGGAGGGATCCTCTAAAACTTTAGTCCTAAAAAACTATTATGCTGTAGCTACATGGCTGATGTAGCTCAGAATTGTTTAGAATAAACAAGAGACTCAACCCTTCATGTTATTAACAATAAAAAGGTAGAAACAGGCTAAAGGCTTGAGGAAGATTGCTTAATACAGTTAGATAAAATCAAATTTTACTTTTCCATCAGTGTTCTCAATTTAGGTGACCTAAGACTCAGAGGTTAGAGGCTGAGATTCTTTAGGAAAATATTTTACCTAGACCATTTTTTTTTTCATTGAGTAAAATACCGTGGTTAATTGGAACTTGAATCTAAGGTTAAGAGGGGAGAGAAAGAAAGAATAAAAGCAATATGAAGGTATGTGCTCCATCCACCATGAGAAAAGAAGTGGAAGAATCTAGAAGCTCGCAGGCTAGCTAGCAGGGGCTACACAGAGCAGGGAAAACAAGAGAGAGCTGGTCTTAACGAGGAAGAAGTGCAGAGCTGACCCCCACCCCCCAAGATTGTCCTCTTGCTCCACAAGTGTGCTGAAAGTATGCTGAGGTGCCTGAACACACACACACACACACACACACACACACACCAGTGCACAACAACAGATACATTTTAAATGATGTGATATGCTTGGGTGTTCATTCAAGCCATTAAAATTACTAACATATGGACCACAAAAACTTCTAATTTTTAAAAGCCTTTGGGTTTGGTATAAATATGTCTTATACGCCAACATTTCTGAGGTGATTACTCATGAACACTTATAAATGAAGGCATTCTTATGGGACCTGCCCTGACTCATCTGAAACCTGATGACTTCAAACTAATCACATAGACTTAAAGTTATTTTTTTTTCCAAACAGGCATTTTGGGGTTTTCATTGGCAGGATCATTGGTGAGGGGGTGCTATAAACACAGTTTATCTGAAATTCTTGGAGAGTGTAAGTTTCCTACTTACCCACAAAGATGAA